GAAAGAAAAACTTCCAAGAAGGCTGATGGCATGGGAATGACATGGGGGCTGGAATCCATGGTCGCATTTATGTTCACATTAGACTGGGGACAAGAGGTTAGCTCACAACCCTAGGGGTTTCTCTAAGTCCTTTCTTTGTTCACATACAGGCTCATGGCATATTGCCCTGTTTTTCTCTGTCACATTTCTGAGCCGTCTCACTTGAGTTTCTGTTACTTCCTCCTTCAGTTTATGTACCTTACAGCACTTAAGATAATTTTACCCTGCTTCTCCTCATACATGTTACCACCCCTCCTCAGCAGTCTGTACAGTATTAAACCTCCCTCTTTTCATGCAGGTCTCAAGTGGCCCATCCTTACTTATGAGGTTCCTCACAGCTATGTTCCTGCTAATCTCTTTGTCATGCTCTGTACCTCCCTATCATCTCCTGTACTTTTCATCCCTTTCTCCTTACCTGACACTTTTCTTGTTCCTTTGTCTCCTCTTCTTCCCTTTATTTTCAAGACTTTTGTCTTCATTTTCCTCCTTTACTCCTAAACAGTAATCCCTCATCCTGGAGCACCCTAACTCTTATTTTATATCCCACACTCCTGCATCTCCACCCACTCCTGTCCTGTCTACTCCTCCCTTCTTGCTCTACTTTAGAATCTATTAAAATATTAGTAATAATCTTATTTTTCACTATATAATACAATTCACATCATTTTAATTTATTTTAAACTGTTTCTTCCTTCTCTGTTTTCTCTTTCACTTATTCATGCTTACTGGGCCTATACCCAGACAGCATTTAGGTGTAACTAGTCCTATTTTACATAGAAGTACATTGTTGATCCACAAATCTTGATAAAATGTAAGTTATAGTTTCATAGTTTCATAGTTTCATAGTTTTAGGGTCGGAAGGGACCTAATAGATCTTCTAGCCCGACCCCCCGCCAGGGCGGGAGAACAACAAAAGAACCCTAAACAAAAAACGGGACTCAAATGAGTCCAGCCAGGTAGGTATCCAGCCTCTTCTTAAAGATCCCCAGGGTAGGGGCCAGCACCACCTCCCTTGGAAGTTGGTTCCAGCTCCTAGCCGCCCTAACTGTGAAGTAGTTTTTTCGGATGTCCATTCTGTCCCGCCTCTCCATCAACTTGTGCCCATTACTCCTTGTTATGCCAGCGGGGGCTAGGGGAAACAGCGTCTCCCCCAAACCCTTCTGGTTCCCCCTAGTGAGTTTATAGACGGTCACCAGGTCCCCCCTCAGCCTTCTCTTGTGGAGGCTGAATAGGTTCAGGTCCCGCAGTCTCTCACTGTAGGGTCTGCCCTGTTGTCCCCGGATCATGCGGGTGGCCCTCCTCTGGACCCTCTCCATGTTGTCCACATCCCTCCTGAAATGGGGCGCACAGAACTGGACACAATACTCCAGCTGCGGCCTGACCAGCGTCGCATAGAGGGGGAGGATCACCTCCCTGGCTCTACTCGAGATGCACCTGTGGATGCACGACAAGGTCCTGTTAGCCCTGCCAACCATGACCTCGCATTGTCGGCCCATGTTCATCTTGGAGTCAATAATGACACCAGGTCAGTCTGAATATCATATCAACAGAATTGTGCTTAATGCCTTTGTTAATACACTTTGCATTTATTGCAGCAAGAAAGGTGAGAGGGGCAGAGGCCAGAGCAGCTGAAGAGGATCCAGAGGGGAGGTCCCCCAGAGCCTCTTAACTGAGAAGGCTGGGAGCTGCGCTCCCGAGTCGTGCGCTAACAGACCGTGCAAACAGGCGCGCTCTGTGGGAGTGCGCCAGCGTTTGCGCCGGCGTTAGCGCAGGGCGGAGAGCAGGGGAGGCCCAGTGACTCTCCAGGGGAGAGAACGTGTGGGGAGCTTGATGAGGGTGGTAACCCGGAGAGCAGCCAGGGACCCTGCCCCGATGCTTCCCACCTCCCAGGGAGCCTCTGAGGCCTCCACCCAGATGGAGCCTTGGGCCAGGGCAGTGGCACCTGGGCACCCTGCATGCAGGGGTTGCCTGGCGGGTTCCCAGAAGCCCAGGGTCCGGGGGGAGGCCAGGGGTCCCCCCGTCTGTCCCACATGTGCCAGGGTTGAGGCACTGGAGGGGCAGGTAGCGGTACTCCAGGCAGAGGTGAGCAGGCTGGGGGGGATCAAGGCAACTGAGGAGGAGATTGATGGGTACTTCCTTTCTCTGCAGAGCCAGACACCAGGCAGAGGAGCAGACTGTAGAAGCCCCAAAGCTGATATGGAAGGATGGACGACCGTCACCTCCTGGGCCAAGCCGCTCACCACAGATATGGATCCACTGGTGCAGTTGGGGAACAGATACGAAGCCCTGGCTGCACTGGAGGAGAGTTTGGTGGAGGAAGCAGAACAGGAGGTACCCCGATCCATCCCCGAGCAAGCTGAGGGCCAGACAAGCTACCAGAGGAAGAGGAGATGGGTCATCGTAGTGGGCGACTCCCTACTGAGAGGAGCAGAGGGAAACATCTGCTGCCCAGATCCCATGGCGCGTGAGGTGTGTTGCCTGGCAGGGGCCAAGATCCGGGATGTCACGACAAGGATTCCTGACCTGATCCGGCCCTCAGACTACTATCCCATGGTCCTCATCCATGTGGGAACCAATGACACGGCTAGGAGTAGTCCTGACCATGTCATGGGTGACTACAGGGCTCTGGGGGCCAGGCTTAGGGAGACGGGGGTTCAGGTGGTCTTCTTGTCCATCCTCCAAGTCAGAGGTCACAGTAGGCATCACAGCACCTGCATCAGAGAGG